GAATGCTAAAACAATAAAACACCTGCTAGAACATTTTAAACGAATGATAAACTGAACTACTGTCAGTTAGAAACACAATTCAGTACAATAGGAGCAGCTCGTGAAGGTGGAGTCGTAGTTGCAGAGATAAACTGTAGCTCATACAGATAAATAGGCACTAAATACAAAGAGGATCCCAGATATAGACTCCGTTTGATCAGTTATTGGATGGAGTTGCCCAGATGAACTACACATCAGCTTTGACCTTGGGATCTATCTGCATCAGATCAGCTACCTTTGTTGTGAGGATTCTTCCTGTCAGGGAACATAAGTCATTCCAACCCTTGTGCTCTTTATCGATGCATCTCTGGTGCTGTGCAAACCTCGTTACAAACTCTACCTGTCTGACGGATGAGCCTCCACAAAGTATCCAGCGAATGGGCAGTAGATCCTGGGCTGCAGGGACTTCGCCAGTGTAGCTTTGTAATTCAGCAGCTTCTTCCTCTCATTCTTGATAAACTCTGCCTTCCAGGAATCTGGAAACACATCAACATTTGCTTCATCTCAGCAGTTTGGTGCACTTTGACGCTGTTGATCACAACATATGAGTTAAACAAGTCAGTTCCTACGTGGCTAATAGAGCTACATGTGTCTGTCAAAAGACTGTAACTGAGACACTGCTGTGTGTGTGTGGAGCTAAATGCTAACTAAGCTAACCTAGCTCAGGCTCACCGCTGTATTTCCCTCCATAGAAGGTCATCGGGAATCCAGAAGCTCCTCCAGCGAAGTCGGTCATCATCACATCCACATACTGTGGCAGCCTGCCTCCGTTTGGTCTGGTGCAGTCCACAGTGTTGAGGATCATGTGACCTGCAATCAAAACTGCGTTTTATATCCTAATCAGACTTATTTTCACAGCATCAGTAATAATATTATTTAAAATGACACCTTTGTAGTCAACAATGATGCAGGTGTCCATTTCAGGATGTACACCATCCATCAGGATCATGAACCTCAGGTGTTCATCAATCTGAGTGAGACAGGAAGAGCCATTTTGCTTCATAATCATATTTCCCCCAAAATGAATTGAATCATTTTACAATTCAACATTTTCCAAACATGTTTATTGTAAATACTCTTGACCACATGTTAGAGGTGTGACTTACATTTTGCCAAACACCAAAGGGAATGACTTTAATGTTGGTCAGCTTCACTTGGCTTTGCTTCAAATACCTGTCACAGCAGAAGAACAAACTCACTTTGTACCGGATT